TTCCAGTGCTGAAGTTCAGCCAGGCACTTGGTGAAGATATTAGCCGCCTGCTGCTGAGTCTTCACAATCTCCAGCCGCACCTCCTTGTCCAAGAGCCTCCTCACCCAATGCCACTTAGGCCTGATGTGCTTTGTGAGCCCATGCATATACGCATTCTTGGCCAACTTCACAGATGACTCGTTGTCACATAAGATAACTGTCGCGTCCTTCTGTCCAAACCAGATCTCCTCCAACAAACGCCTCAACCACAATTCCCCTCTCTATAGGCACCCCAACTTTGACATTTGTCACTTTCCCAACTCATGCCATCCACTTCACCCAACTTGGCCACACTTGCCAACCTGGTTTGGCTTCTCCCAACCACTTGGCATCAATCTACAGTAGAGTGACGAATTTCCCAACCCCCAAAAGTCTATACCCCATGTTGAGTCACTCCGCAAATTCCCGTAGTCGCCGCATCTCAATCAAAATTTCGAACAATCATATATTTCTCGTTCTTGCTCCGATCGCGACGATTCTTGGTTCTTTCGAAATCTCTCGAGCAGAGGAGTCACATTGGATATCTTCTCAAGCCAAATAAAATTCACACACACTCAGAAAATCCAAACCACACCAAACACAAATTCTTGTACACATCACGCATGCAACGCACGAACATATAATGGGAGGCAGACAGACGTGAATGCAAATGATAGCATCACATAACAACAGGGACGACTATCTTGTCCAGCATGAACTTGAAGTACCCGTACGTCGGCGCTATCCCGACCGTCGTCACGTGGTTCGCCGACGCTGGGGTGTCACACTGCTCCGACGTCCTCCGGCATCACCTTGCAAAGAGCCTGCAGCCGCAGACGATTGCAGCCCTTGCGCCTGAACGCCGCCGACTTCACCGGCGTGTATCACCCCTCTCTGCCTCGACGTGCCTCCTGCACTGCTGCCGACTTGGTCACCGCCGTCGACGCCCACGCCAACACCACCTTTTTTCCGTGCCGGTTGAGGAGAACCAGGTTGGGAAGGATGCTCCGTCGCCCACATTGTGCGGATACCCAGCTCGACGACCTCCAGGGGGAGGCTCGGCCCGAACTCGCCATCCTCTGGCGTCTCTTTGCATCTGCTAGCCGCGTCTCCAAGGTGTCCACTACGCAGGCGTCAGCTACGGGACCAACCATGGTGACTAGCACAGCTCCTGGCCTACGAACGAAATAGGTAATGTGCAACTAAGTCGACTAGACTGAAGGTAAGTCGCGGTGCCGTCCATGCTCACCGCACCATGCAGAGATAACTTAACCAACGAGAGCTAGTCTACCGGGTAAGCACGGTTTTGAGGGTGATCTCTGCGTTCCCAAGTCGTTTTCTCGTGTTCACACTACTTGCTCATCCATGGGGAGAATTGGGAAGAGTTTTATTTGCAAAGATTGACAACAATGGTGACAAGAAAGTTGGGAAGCAAGACTACATCAGATGCTAGCAAGCATGCCGGTTGACGGCATCCCGTAGCCGCTGCTGCCGTCGTCTCCACCCCTCAGTTGGCGGCGTTGGAAGTCCTCCTCCAGAATCTTCGTCTGCACCCACTCGAGCGTCCACAAGCTCTGATTCTGCGGCAGGCTCAATCCGCTCGTGAATTGAAGCCACGATTCCGGCAGCAGCGATAGCATCTTCAAGCACTTGGTCTGCTCCGGGTAGGTGATTCCCGCGGTCGCCAACTTCGCGTAGAGGTCGCGCATTTTGTCCAAAACAGGTTGCACCGGCTCTCCCTCGCTCAAGCGCAACGCGGACATCTCCCTCTCCAGCATCAACGTTGCGACAACGGAGGTCGGGGCGTGCAGCTCCTTCAACACGGTCCACGCCTTCGGACCGCAATCAACCTCCGGCAGCAGGTGCATGACGTGGTGACGCTGGTTCAGCTCCAAACTCTGCGACATCAAGTAGTAGCCAGCCGAGGCGCGCTCGTCCCAATCTTCATGCAGCGCGGGGTCACTCGGTCTAGGCTCCTCCCCAATCGTTAGTTTCAGCAATCCAATCTGACGGAAGTAAAGTTGCATTTTCCAGGCCCAATCATCATAGCTCTCACCATTGAACTTCTCGACGGTGAAGTTTTTCAGCACCTCCTTGATCAGCGAGCCCTGGTTTGTTCGCGCTCCCCTTGGCGCCGAAACACCAGAATCCTGGCTGCCGCTACGATCTTGGGCTGAAGATTCACCAGCTCCCGCCGAGGTATTTCCCGCCATATCTATTTATAACGAGGATCACTATAACGCAGCTCTGATACTAGCTTGTTGGTGTAAGGGCCTAATAAACTCAGGCTATTAAGACGTTATCCAACTTAAAACCTCTCCTCGGGGTCACCTCCAAGGGTCCCTGGGTGCTTGGTACAAGACCAGCCCCTATCCTCGGGTCCGAGTTTGTAGAGAGAGGGATCAAAAGGGACTTGGTCAAAACAGCAAGAGTACCTTGAACGTCGCGCAGCGTGCCGTGCAGAAGGTCGTATGAATATGCTGAGAAGCTCTATCGAAGCTCAACCCAAAGAGCTTTCAAGAGAGCCAAGTTGCCTCGCGAAAAGTTCTGCCATTGCAGAGTTACGAAATGGACAGCGTTTGCCTAGCGTCGGAGTGCTAGTGTACTAGCGTTGACTCGGTAGCATTCTGCCGTCGAATCACGTGGATACGAAATTCCAGCAAGGAAGGAATTCGCTTGAATCAATTTGAATATATTCAGGTACAAACAGAGAAGGAATATATAGTTCTAGCTAGCAAGGACCTTGGGAATCAACCTGGGAACAACCAGGGATGATCCCAAATAATTCCAAGCAACAGAACCAACCTGACTGGACAAAACAGCAGCTGGTAGGTTGGTAAACAACCTCTGGTTCTGTTTTTCCAACCTGGGAAAACAACAACCAGGTTCAGGTCCTAAAAACAGAACCTGTTTTTGTCTTTGCCCAACCAGCCAAATGCTGGTTCCGCTGGTTTCCCCTGGCCCTGTAGCATGCAGATACAGACAAACAACATCCAACCTTAACCTAAATTGTACCCCTAACCTAAATTGTACCCCTATAGTGCCTGCCCTGCTACACTATAGTCAACCAAACAAAACAGTACAATTTCGAGTTGGATATAACTGAATCTGCGCAATCAATTCAACCGAACTGCAAAGCTTCCATATTGGGTTCCTTTGCGAGCTCGTCCTTTCTGCTTGCACTGTTCATAGCGCGTACAATGTTGTGCCGAAGCGCACATTGCGCGAGTACCTGCAAATGCATCAAGCGAAAACTGCGAAAGCAAACAAACATACGAACATTCCATTCACACCCAAATGCATTCGCACACGCATACTCGTACAAACAGACGGCAGGATGTCGTGCAATGTGAATTTGCACCCAACAAGGAGACGCCTCTGCTAATGTTGGAGCAGAGCTGCATCCCCTGGACTATTGGGTGTTGGACACGGGCGCTGCTTGGACGATGACGCCGCGCAAGGAGCTGCTTGATGACGTACAAGCTGCACCGATCAATGAGGTGTGCTCTGCCTCTGGACACGCGCTGAAGGTGGCTGGTGCGGGACGAGCTGCATTCACGGGAGCGGATTGCAAGCCGGTGGTGCTGCACGATGTTCTCCTCATTCCTGATCTCAAGGCCAACCTCATCTCCCTCCGTAAGCTTGCCAAGGCTGGGGTGAGCACTAGCACGGATGGGGCACGTACGTACAAGGGGCAGCTGGGAAATCGGGTGCTTTGGGATCTGCACGAGAGCAAGGATGTGTACAGATCCATGTGGCAGCTGCCGGCGTTGGCGTGGCACGGTGGGGGGCAGGCTGGAGAGGGGTCTGCATCCCAGGGGGAGTGCAACGCCGTTGGAGGGGTTAGTGTGAAAGTGTCGGCCAGATCTGGGGAGACGGATTGGGCAACGGCACACCGACGCTTGGGGCATGTGGCAATGATGAACCTGATATCTTCACAGGCGGCTGATATCTTCACCAAGTGCCTGGCTGCACCTGAGCACTGGAAGGGCATGAAGCTTGCTCGAATAAGTGTGCATTGAGGGTGCATGCTTGAGCTATGGCATGTGGGATGATGGTTGGCAGCCAGAGGGGGAGTTTGTTATGTGATGCTATCATTCGAATCCACATCTGTCTGTTTGTCTGTTTACCTTTCTACCTTGCATGCGTAGTGTGCGCGTGCGTAAGAAATTGTGTTTGGCATGGTTTGGATTTCCTGAGTGTGTGTGAATGCTATTCTGCTTGAGCAGATATCTGAAGTGACTCCTCTGCTCAAGAGCTTTCCGACGAACCAAGGATCGCTTCAATCGGAGCACAAACGAGAAAGTTACGAACGGCTGAAGTTTGTATGCTTCATATATTTGGTTGCGGCGACTTTGGGAATTTGTGGAGTGACTCTATTTGATGTATATACTTTGGGGTTTGGGGAAATTCTTCACTCTACTATAGATGATGCCAATTGGCCGGGAGAAACCAAATTGGGTGGGCAAGTGTGGCCAAATTGAGGTGAGGTGGATTGGGAAGCTTGGGAAAAGGACAAGGGTCAAAGTTGGGTTCTTATAGGGAGGGGAAATTGTGTGACCATGGGGTTTCCTTGGTTGAGGACTCTCTTGGGACCTCCCCTCTCGTCCTCCTCATCCCCTCCTACCTGGTTTCTAGCTATTCTAATTCTCTTATGTGGATCTTGTGTGAACAATTGTGATTGAGTTAATTTTCAGCTCCAGAATACCCCCCAGTGCGCCGAAAATTCATATCTCAAGATTAACTTTATCTCGTGATACGATTCAAGTTGGGAATTGTAGCTACGATCTAGAGCTACAGCATATCCGAAATTGGTGAAGTTTTTACAGTAAACGTTTCATCGACGGCGTTTCTTGTGTAGTCGACAATTCTGTCCAGAAATTAAGTCCAACGATTTGAAGTTATTTCGGTCTATAATCTTCCTAGACCCCGTCCTTAATCTCTAACACAACCAATCTCGGCGTCTTCTTGCCTGCATGCGGATGGCCAGCGTCGAGTCCTCGACGTCGTCGTACATCACACACGTCATCAAGGGGCTCCCGAGCGCCTACAACCTGATGAAGCGTCTGTCGGTGGTTCTGGGCACGCGGGAGTCGCTCAACGAGGACTCGCTGACCTCGTTCATCCTCAGGGACAAGGCGATGCAGGAGGCCGAGAAGTCTACGGAGCTTCTGCAGCAGGTGAACTACGTCGTCCCGATAAATCAGGGCGGTCAGCCGGGGCAGCGGGGCAAGCCAGGCGGCCAGTGGTAGCGGAGGTGGAAAGCCGGCCAAGGACGCAGACAAGCAGAAGTCGGCCAAGGATGGCAGCAGAGGAGGAGGAGGTCGACGTCGGGAATGCTGGCTGTGCGGCGACCCCGACCACCTATCCTTTGAGTGCCCCGACCGTGAGGACTCCGATGACGATGACACCAAGGGAGGCCGAGGGAGGTAGGCCGGTCGTGGCCCTCGTCGGGAAAGCAAGCGGCACAAGGAGAAGCAGTCGACCAATTCGACCTCGGCGAAGGACGCCGACTCCTCCTCTGGCGGCAAAGGACGAGGCGATGGGGAGGCGTCATGCTCATTGGTCAGCATCGTGGAGCAGACCGTCTCCCTGGCGCCGGAGGCCGGCGAGGACTTCCAGGCGGTGGCGGCAACTGTGCAGGCGAACCCGGCGTTGGTCCTGCTCGACAGCGGCTGTTCGCACCATCTAATGTGGACGAAGACAGCCTTCGTCGACTTGGGGCCGAGCAGCAACGTCAAGCACATGCGCGGTTTCAGTGGAGCGTTGCAGGACATCCAAGGCCGAGGCTCTGTCGCCCTGCAAGGCAAAGCCGGGAAGCAGGTGCTCATCCCAGACGTGCTCTACGTCTCGGGCGTTCAGGCGAACCTGCTATCACCCGGCCAGCTGAAGGAGAGCGGCGTGAAGTTGCAGGACCATCAAGAGCTCGGCAAAGCACGAGGTCGCGACTGGCCTGGACATCAAGCTGTCGGCCGTCGCCGACTTTCCGTGTGTCTCCAGTGTCGGTGGGAAGCTGGCGAGGCACACCTTCCCTGATAAGGGCTCCGACGCCCTGGCAGTCGTACACATCGACCTGTGCGGGCTGTTTCGGGTGGCCGGGATGGATGGCAACTTGTACTTCTTGCTGCTGAAGGACCGCAAGACACGCTACGTGTGGGTGAGGCCGGTCGCCAAGAAGTCCGATGTGCTGCGGGAGTTCAAGAAGTGGCTGGTGGTGGTTGAGCGGCAGACGAAAAAGTCGGTGCTAATGCTGTGTTCTGTCTGGGGAGGGGAGTTCCTCGGGAGGCAGTTCACCGACTTTGTGGACGGCAAGGGAATCGTCCACGACTTGACCTGCCCCTACACACCGCAGCAGAACGGCATGGCAAAGCGGGAGATGCGGACGGTGGTAGAGTCGGTGCGGACGATGCTGCTGCACATGGGCGTGCAGCACCACTGGTGGCACCTCGGACTACGCCAGGCCATCTGGGTGAAAAACTGCTTGGAGAGGTCGACACTGCCGCCAGGAACGACTCCGTACCAGCTGCTGACCGGCAAGAAGCCCGACTTGACGCCGGCCCATGTGTGGGGCTGCATGGCACAGTTCCTGGTCCCCGAGCAGCAGCGTGTTGGAAAGCTGGAGCCGAAGGCCCAGTGGGGCCTTCACCTCGGTGTATCGGAGGAGAGCAAGGGCTGGGAGCTCCTCGACCTCACCGAAAACAGGGTGGTCACCTCGTCTGACGTGGTGTTCTACGAGACCATGTCGCTGGAGGTGTGGAAGTCGGAGTACAGGCCAGCGTCGGGGCGGACGCAGGTCACCCTGGTTGGGCAAAGAGAAAACAGGTTCTGTTTTTAGGATCTGAACCTGGTTGTTGTTTTCCCAGGTTGGCAAAACAAAACCAGAGGTTGTTTACCAACCTACCACCTGCTGTTTTGTCAAGCCAGGTTGGTTCTGTTGCTTGGAATTATTTGGGATCATCCCTGGTTGTTCCCAGGCTGATTCCCAAGGTCCTTGCTTGCCAGAACTATATATTCCTTCTCTGTTTGTACCTGAATATAGTCAATTTGATTCAAGCAAATTCCTTTCTTGCTGGAATTTTCATTCTACACGGTGCGACGGCGGAATGCTACCGAGTCAACGCTAGTACACTAGCACTACAACGCTAGGCAAACGCTGTCCGAGCCATAACTCTGCAATGGCTGATCTTTTCGCGAGGAAACTTGGCTCTTTTGAAAGCTCTTAGAGTTAGCTTCGATATAGCATGTTCTCAGCTTAATCCGATCGACGGTCTGCACGGCACGCTGCGCGACGTTTAAGGTACTCTTGCTAATTTGGCTAAGTCATTCTTGATCCCTTTCTCTACAAACTCGGACCCGAGGATAGGGGCTGGTCTTGTAACAGGCACCCAGGGATCCTTGGAGGTGACCTTGAGGAGAGGTGTTAAGTTGGATAACGTCTTAAAAGCCTGAGTTGATTAGGCCCTTACACTAACAGCTAATGCCTCTGTTGGGTGCAAATTCACATTGCACGACATCCTACCGTCTGTTTGTACGAATATGCGTGTGCGAATGCATTTGGGTGTGAATCTTTTGTGCTATAAGAAACCCGGTAGATGGAACCCCCAGAATCCTCACTAGGATGGCGGCGAGCGGAGGAACCAGAAAAATGTTAGTGTAAGGGCCTAATAAACTCAGGCTATTAAGATGTTATCCAGCTTAAAACCTCTCTTCGGGGTCACCTCCAAGGGTCCCTGTGTGCTTGGTATAACACCAGCCCCTATCCTCGGGTCCGAGTTTGTAGAGAGAGCGATCAAGAGGGACTTAGTCAAAACAGCAAGAGTATCTTGAACGTCGCGCAGCGTGCCGTGCAGACCGTCGATCGGATTAAGCTGAGAAGTCGTTTTATCGAAGGTCACTCTAAGAGCTTTCAAAAGAGCCAAGTTGCCTCGCGAAAAGTTCTGCCATTGCAGAGTTATGAATTGGACAGCGTTGGCCTAGCGTTGTAGTGCTAGCGTACTAACGTTGACTCGGTAGCATTCTGCCGTCGCACCGCGTAGAAACGAAATTCCAGCAACGAAGGAATTCGCGTTAATCAAATTGACTATATCCAAGTGCAAACAGAGAAAGAATATATAGTTCTAGCTAGCAAGGACCTTGGGAATCAACCTGGGAACAACCAGGGATGATCCCAGATAAATCCAAGCAACAGAACCAACCTGGCTGGACAAAACAGCAGGTGGTAGGTTGGTAAACAACCTCTGGTTCTGTTTTTCCAACCTGGGAAAACAACAACCAGGTTCAGGTCCTAAAAACAGAACCTGTTTTGTCTTTGCCCAACCAGCCAAATGCTGGTTCCGCTGGTTTCCCCTGGCCCTGTAGCATGCAGATACAGACAAACAACATCCAACTTTCACCTAAATTGTACCCCTATAGTGCCTGCCCTGCTACACTATAGTAAACCAAATAAAACAGTACAATTTCGAGTTGGATAGAACTGAATCTGCGCACTCAATTCAACCGAACTGCTAAGCTTCCATATTGGGTTCCTTTGCGAGCTCGTCTTTTCTGCTTGCACTGTTCATAGCGCGTACAATGTTGTGCCGAAGCGCACATTGCGGGAGCACCTGCAAATGCATCAAGCGAAAATTGCGAAAGCAAACAAACACACGAACATTCTATTCACACCCAAATGCATTCGCATACGCATACTCGTACAAACAGACGGCAGGATGTCGTGCAATGTGAATTTGCACCCAACAGTTTCTTGGACCTCGAACTAACAGGTCCTCCCCCAACTACGCGGATGTATCCCCCCACAGATGAGGAATCCTCCTTCTCATAAGCCTACGTAGTTTAGAAGAGCAAGTGAGAAAAGCTTGCCTTCTCCAAGCCGCTCCCCCTTCTCTTTCAGCACCTCAACCCCTTTCTGCTTCACCTGTGCAGATGCGGGGTATTGAACTCCAATGCTTGGGTGAGAGTTCAGGTACTTCACCACACGCTCAGCTGCATCCACCTGCTCCTCTGATGGATTCTGCACCACCCTAGCCAGCTGCCCAACCGAGAAAGAGATGTCGGGCCTCGTATGAACCGCGGCATACAAGAGGCTGCCCACCAAGGACTGAAATTGCTGCTGCTCCTCGGCTTCAACCCCTTCATCCTCTGCTGCCTTCACAAGCTTGAATTCTGCTGGCAGGGGAGTTGCAACCTTGCGCTTATTCTCAATCCCATACTTCTCCCCCAGCTCCTTGATGAACTTCTCCTGGTGCAGCTTCAACCACCTGTGATCCAGATCCCTCTCCACGTGCATCCCGAGGTTCTATTTTACCTCCCCAAGGGTCTTGCACTTGAAGAATGTCATCCACGTAGACCAGAAACAGTACCAGCTTCTCCCCCTCCCCCTTGAGAAAGAGGCTCTCATCACAGCTGCTGGTCCTGAATCCCATCTCTCCTCTAAAACAGCTGCCAACTTCTGGTACCAGCAGCGTGGCGCCTGCTTCAAGCCGTAGATGGACTTTTTTAGCTTGCACACCCTGCCCGTACCATCCTCATACCCAGGCGGCTGCGTCATGTACACATCCTCCTCTAAAATCCCATTGAGGAATGCCGTTGATATATCCATCTGACTGATAAATTTCCCACTAACGGCTGCATCTGCCAGCAAGACATAGAGGGTAGGGGGTTTGGCAGTGAGAGCAAATATCTCATTGAAGTCCTGCTTCTCTTTCTGCATAAACCCCTTAGCCACCAGCCTACTCTTGTAGATGGTGACCTGTCCCTTGTCATCGGTCTTAATCCTTAGCACCCACTTGCACTGTACGGCTTTCTTCCCCTCAGGCAGCACCTCCAGATCCCATATCCCATTCTCTAGCAAGCTTTGGTACTCAGCATCCCTAAAAACCAGCCACTTCTCCCTATCTGGTCCAGCTAATGCCTCCTCCATGCTTGCTGGTTCCTCTGGTGCAGGGGCAAGAAAACAGTAGGCAGGTTCATCCTCCTCATACGGGTCATAGCCATGCGGTAGAATCAGCAATGCCTCCTCATTCCCAAGCTGCTGCTCTGCTATATCAGCTCCTGCAGCCAGCTTTATAGTGGCCATACGGGTACGTCCTGGCCTAGATACGGGTGTCTCCCACCCCTTCATAACGACACCCTTCGGCTTCCTCCTTTTTGGTAGTGTAGGAACCTTAGTTTTTCCTTGTTGCTGTTCTCCTCCCTCAGATCCAGCAGCTTCCTTGGTGCTACCACTAGTCTCCACATCATCTCCTCCACCAGCAGGTGCCTCCTGCATCTTCTGTCCATCACCACCCTCTGCAGCTGCCTCCTCTCCCTCCTCCCACACACTAGGAGTCAGGTCCAGCTGCATGGTGATCTGCTCTATCTGCTGGGACACCTTAGTTTCCGGCTGTTTCTTCCAGCCCCCATACATCATGCCCTCAACGAACTTCACATCCCTGCTGTCAAACAACACACCCTTGGATGGTTCCCACAGCAGCCATCCCTTGCTCTCGGCAGCCAGCCCCAAATGCACACACAAGATTGCACTCGCCCCCAACTTACTTCGATACTTCTTGGGGACGTGGGCGACTGCCATGCAACCGAACACCCTCAGCATGTCCATCGGCGGCTTCCTCCCAAGCCACCTCTCCAGCGGCACCCACGATTCATTACCAACCTTAGTGAGCACCCTGTTCCTAGCCACGGTACCGTGCCGGACAGCATGGGGCCACATGGAATTGCCCACCCCTGATTCTATGAGCAGACCCTAGCTGTCTCCAGAATGGTCCGGTTCGCCCGTTCTGCTACACTGTTGGACTGCGGGGTATAAGCCGTGGTCAGCTCCCTCTGAATGCCCTGCTTCTTGAGCCAGGCCGTCATCTCAGCTCCAAGGAACTCACCACCCCGGTCTGTCCGAATCCGCTTCACCATACACTCCGCTTGCTTCTCCACGAATGGCAGCCAATCTTCCTGTATCGTAGAGGCGGCGTGGTCCTTTTGCTTCAGCGGATACGCCCACATGAGTCTGCTCCAATCATCCACAATGGTCAGGAAATACCGCTCCCCCTTGTGCCGTTGCACCGGCAGCGGCCCCACCAAGTCCATGTGAACCAGCTCCAAAGGCTTCTTGCTCCTGCCAGTCACGCTATGAAAGGGGAAACGAGTGAATTTTGAGAGCAAACAGATCTCGCAGTTGTCATCGGGTGGCTGTCTGTTCAGCTTCAGACCCTTGACGGCTCCATCCTTCTCTAGCTGCTTCAACAAGGGCATTGCCACATGCCCCAAGCGTCGGTGTGCCATTGCCCAATCCGTCTCCCCAGATCTGGCCGACACTTTCACACCAACCCCTCCAACGGCGTTGCACTCCCCCTGGGATGCAGACCCCTCTCCAGCCTGCCTCCCACCGTGCCACGCCAACGCCGGCAGCTGCCACATGGATCTGTACACATCCTTGCTCTCGTGCAGATCCCAAAGCACCCGATTTCCCAGCTGCCCATTG